GTCTGGTTTTTCACATGCTACACATGCAATAGGAAAATACAGACCGCACTAACCCCAACCACAAACTGGAAAGTTCCCACGTCAGAGTACATAAGTAGTCAACTACACGAACAGTACTAAGATAGAAATGTAACAGCCATGAACTGCATGCCTATGTGTGCACTGTGTAAGATTCTTATTCACTCTCTTCCATAGAACAAAGGAAAAATCCATCTTCTAGTATGAACTTGAACAAGAAAAAGTAGGTAGAAAAACAGAAAAAAATAACTAAATAAAGAAAAACTTGGTATAGTACAAACTTATGTGTCAGTATGTAATGCCCACAAGTTATTTCTGAACAGTAACAATGTTCTAGCATAAATATGCATGAATCACATCCCCCTTCAGTATAACAAACCTCTAGACTTTCCTAATTCTTCTAAATAATTCAATTCTAATAAGGAATCACTTTCTCTATGACCAGTCAATAACATATACAGTTCATGTCTCAATACTTTCGGTTTACTGCTGTATACAGCACAATTTTTGTAGCGAGTACTTGAAGTCACATGAAAGTTTATGCAGCCACAGCAGTTTGAAAAACATACAAGAAATCAGAATTTCCAACAAAAAATTTTACTCTATTTTAGTTTAATGTAAAACCAAAGTGCATTTTATTTAATAACACAAGAGGTTATGACAATTTGCCTGCGACTTGAATATACATATGAGCGCACATACATATATATTATGAACCTACATCCTGAAGAATGTCACCTTCATTTTTAACGACAGGCAATGGATTATGTTATCCTAACTATCAAATCTGTTGTGACAGCCATGGAGGATCACATGCATGGCCAGCAAGATCCTGTGATTTAAACCCTTTGTACTGTCATCTCTGGGGCCATGAGGAGGGACTAGTCTATATACAAAGAACAAAGAGAAGAACAATGCTTCAGAGAATTTTAGGTGATTTATATATCTGAAAAAATCTCCACATTTCTAAGAATGTAAACACTTCCATAATACACTGCACTGAAATGCACATTCAAGACACATTGAACAGTTTACAATATAGCAAGCTCAGATGTGCATTCAAGTCACAGGCTGACAATCTGAACAGTTTTGGCTTCATGCTTCATTATTAATAACACTTGTTTCTGTTTTGTATTGAAGTGATATTGAATTCTCTTATCAAAAACCAATATTTCTGGTACATTTTTATCTGACTTTAATACTGTCCTGGCTCCTTAATGTTTTGCAAACTGGACCCATGTTAATGGGACTTCTCTTAGTAAAATTCAATCAGTTGGTAGACTCCACCTGAATATGTAAAACAAACTACCTTAACACAAAACTGGCCGCTGCTCTTTAAGTTTCTTTCAATATAAATGAAGAATTAATAATTTATATGCCTCTGGTTCAGGATGTAAGAGTTTAAATTAAGAAATTACATGAAAAAACATGGCAAGTTTTGAACAGTTCATCAAATTTCAGCCTGTTCTGAAATCTGGCTGTTCAAACAATACACAGAGGAGCTATATACAGTAATGGAATCACAGCAAATTGTTTAGTCACATCACTTTATCTTACTCTATAATCAATGTGATAAACTTCAGTGTTCCACAGAATTTTACTCACAAAAAGCAAGATGGGTGTGAGAAGTAAAGTAAAGGTATCCCTGTAACAGACCGTGCAGGACCACAGGGTCCCACATTTTCTAGACAATCAGCTCATAGATGGTGACAAGGTTGTCAGCCCTATGTGCCGGCTGCCCTTTACCCCCAAGAATATTCCTGGTACTCAATTCTGTTAGAGGCTGAGTTGACCCCAGGGCTATAGTGCGGCTGGAAGGGTTAGGTCAATTGAAAAAAATCCAGTGACCTCATCAGGACTTGAACCTGTGACATTCTGGCTTGTAACATAGTGCCCCAACTAACTACGTTACCATGAAATTAAAAATTCAACAAGAAAGAAATGAAATGTTGCCACTGTACAGTGCAAATTTCCCAAGGAAACAACCCCCACCAAAACACATAAACCCAAACTGAAATTCTGTTAGCTTACTTTTGACATCCTCATGTTGCTGTACCATATTATTTTCTGGAACTGCATGGCAGCTGATGCTTGATGATGATGATGATGATGATGTAGCTGAAGTAGTGTTACATCATCACAGGGGAAATTAATTAAATCCCACTGTTCCTTACAGAAACCTTAAATAGAGACTTCCTTGTATATAGTGTCTAAGGACAGGATGATTAGTAAATGATGAAACAGAAAGGATGTGTACATTTATGGTCAGCTGCAGAGGTACAAACAGCATTTTTCAAAGACATCTCGAATGTACAGTAATCTACCCACAATGTTTGTTGGATGAAGCATAGAGCTTCAGGAGTGAAGACAAATCAGATATAACAGATATACCTCTTAAAAATAAGAACTGCACAATTCATTTCAGCCTAATATTAACAGGCAGCAACTAACACCAAGTTAATGGCTGCACACCCATCAGTGTCCAGAGAGTTTCTTGTGTTCAGTTTATTTATTACTGGTGAATTGTGCCCATACATAAAAGTATATTCTGACTTGTTTCCACAAGCAGTGATGTTACTAGCATATGTGAATGACTGTTCACTGCAACTTTTCAGAGTGAACAAACAATGTAAAAGTTCACCCTAGAACTGATTTTTAACATGATAATTCACAAAAATTTCCATTTAAAATTCATGATATCAAAAGGGATATGTAACACAATCTTCGGTATTGTGAAAAAAGAGGTTGTTTACACAGAGTNGAGTAAATATACTGGGGGGGGGGGATCTAGCAGAAAAAATCTTCTCATCTACATACCCGGCCTCTTCCCAAATTCTCACCTCAAATTGAAAAAGTCACTATCACACATGCCTAATGCAAACAAAAACACACAGGATAAAGGACTTACTACAGTAAGGTCCTTCAGACATAATTTAGTACTATTCTGTTTATTTACCTGACTAGTATTGGCAACTGGGGCAGGTTGAGACCAGTGGAGGTTCCATTGGTTTAGGTGCCGCATGAAGTTTAGCAGCTTCCTGCCCAGCAACTTGCACTGGTGGTCTCAGCTAATGCTGGAACACAAAACACCAAATTATATACACCTTCCTCTGTAATTCATCTGTATTATCTTCACAATTACAGACACCATAAGCTTCTCCCTAAGCAGTTCATTAATTACTCAACACTTAGGTAGAAAACCCATAAGATTCAAAAGGGGTAGCCTGCTACTGGACACCATACTGAAATATTTGCATCTACCTCCCATCCTCTCAACGTTCCATCTTAATGTTACCCTCCCTTAACGGCATGAAATATCAAGCAATCACTTCTTATCTAGTGTCTGCAAGCCCTTAAAATTTACTCCCTAAGACTGATCTGCAAAAGAGCACCAATTTGTGCTGGTCTACCTCCAATTGGTTTTAATTTCAAAACAGGAATTCAGTTTTATTTCAAATAACAATGAATGTGCCACTCATACCATTACTATATGGGATAAACTAAAGGATTCCAAATTTCCCCCAGCTCATTCCAAAGACCATATTGTTAACATTCTACTAGACTATATGGCATCATTTCCCAGAAAACAATACTACTTTCTGCTTGTTTTATATTACACTGTAAAGAGGACTCAATGAGAATGTTTATGATAACCAGGCTAACCTAACTGCCTGTGGGGAGAAGCAGATATACACTAATGGCTTAGTGTAAACAAGGAGAAATTGCTATTGTGAATAACCAAGGACACCATGGCAATACTTCTGTATTGGAATCAGCCTGTAATTCCTCCAAACTTTATACACACAGGAATATATTCGCTTCACCATCCCACAATGCAGGATTGATGCAATTATTTATTCACAACTCTAAATGAATTTCAAATTTTAAACTGCAACAGTAAAAACAGTATTTATACTCACATGAAAACACTCTTGGATTCACATCTATGGTAGGAGGCACATCTGTGATTGGCCATGCTGGATCAACTGCATTTACACGTACATCTACTGCATGCAGCTTCTCTGGTGGGGACACTTTCTTCCAAGTTTTACGTAATGTGAACATCTGGGACCGTGTTTCCTTATCCCCCTACAGGAAGGAAGCACAATACATGAATCAGTCCCATAATATGATATTTTCTTGATCACATCTACAATACTTGGCAGCAAGAATTATTAAAATGATGCATACCTCATGCTTTACACGAACAACAACCTCATTTAACAATTAGATATAACGTTAACTTAAATTAATTTTCCTTACAACAAAATTTTTCCCTTGTCACCAACTGACATGACCATGCTCACAAAAGGAAACAAATATTCATGTCTGCGGTAGCTAGATACCATATCCTCTGTAACAAGCTATTTCTAACATTAAGAGTAGCACAACAGAATGTATCCAAGTCTTTTACCATCATGAACAGCTTTGTGCTCTTTGCATATGATGGCTATTTTTTTCAGAGTCAATAATGAAACACAGATAGATAACACTTCTGAATTGCAGAATTTTGGGCAAAAAAAAAATATATATATCTGAAATTGTAAGCTATCAAGGTCTCAAAACCTGGAGCTGGATAACATTACGGTAACAAAACAAAGTTCATGAATGGCCAGATTATTCATCAAAATCACACATCAGACAGACAAAAGTAAATCAGATTCAGCATTTCTATACACATTCAGTCTCATGTATAACAGCTGTTTCTGGGGGCATGCGGTAGCACAGTCGGTTGAGGAACTATGCTACAAGCTGGTAGGTCATGGGATTGAATCCCGATGAGGTCATTGGATTTTTTCAATTTACCTAATCCTTCCAGCCGCACTATGGCCCTGGGAATGAATAAACCCCAAACTAGAGTCCCCCCCCCCAAATCAAAATATGTAATACCTTTTCAAAAACACCGCAGAAGGCTGAAACAAAGTTCTGAGTGAAGAGCGAAGTATATACATCTCCAACATTCTTCAAAATAGAATCGATGAGGTATAACACGGGCAGCTTGATCTCTGCTTGCACCTACATGAACAGGACAAACATATTTGAGGGGTTGTTGCTTGCTTAGGCTCCACTTTCCTTCCAGTTTTGAGAAGTGCAGCAATATAATTACACTAGTATATTTAAGATAGCCAAACCTGCCTACTCATAATAGGACCAAACTTTTCCGAAGCTACTTTTCAATGGAACTACTGACATCTGGATAATGAAGGGAAATGGAATGTCCAATGTGACTGTAAATGGTCTTCCCCTTTTGGTTTCCAAACGTACACAATGAAGCTAGCTCAGAAAGGACTGTCAGAATATCATAATATGTGCAAGGATATTTAAAAACATGATCCTTTTCTCACAAAGTGTTTAAATTCACATCCTGGGCAGTACCTACTTGCAAACGACATATCTTCTGGCAAATACTATACCTTGCAATTGTATTACATGGAATATCCGTTGGCATATGATTAACTATATTAACACTACTAAACAAAACGGCCATGGCGTTAGTCCGCAAGCGAAATATACCCACCAAGTGGCCGCCACTTCTCAGAAAAGTTAGTAAAGCATGGCCAGCGCGTAAGGCTGACAATCTTACTGCCATCCCTGAGCCGATTGTCTAGATAATGTGGGACCCTCAACGTCTCACAACCCTAAGGGCCTTCACCGCCTGTTACTGGGATAGCTTTACTTTTTTTGTTTTACTTTACTATGAACAGCCTGAATTTCAGCACTCTTTTAACAATCTGTCTCAATCAACCTCAAGATGCGACAATATCAAGCAAAACCTTAACACTAACCTTTTGAAGATGTTCTTCCAATGCCTGGACGATTATGGGGGCATGCCTGATATTTTCATCAGCTGAGCCGTGCATGGACTGGCTCGCATAATGAGTGACGTCATGGCTTCCAGCCATATCTTCTGCGCTACCCTTTCTTTCACGATTCCAAGCTCACCCCCTCCTTCTCTCCCAAAGACCATGTGATTTCCCCTTCCTTTCTACCCTTGTGTCTCGGGAGGAAGTACAAGGTGTGTCCCAAAAGTCATGAAATATATTTCTTTCCTGCGCTCCTACTGGTCGGAGCGCGCTGGAACCGGTTTGATTAGGGGGGGAGGCCTTTAGCTTCACAGCGCGCCCAAAGGTCAGT